TGTACTATTCTATACTTATACTCGTTATTTCTCTATTATTGTTGCTTTTTTATCAGAAATGTGTAATACAATTTTAAAAAATAAAAATTATTTTCTATTGTTATATGTGTACAATTATATGTGTACAATTATTGCAATATAATTATCTTGACTTCTCTCGAAGTTTTACATGATGTGTATGTGAAACTGCCCCATTTAATAACGTACATATGGCCCTTGATAGAATTAAATAGCCTATCTAGGAAACAGAATCTACGCGCAATCTGCTGTCAGTCTGTCATCAGAGTCCGTCGACAGGCTCTGCGCGCAATCTGTCGTCAGAACAGATTCTGCGTTCAATCTGTTGCTATTCTGTTTACAGACACTGTCGACAGATTCTGCGCAAAATCTGCTCGCGCAGGTTTGGCTATCTGGGTATATAATTAGTACAAAATGTGCTTAGTAAATCTATTTTATACCGATATATTATTTATATACATATTAAACAATCAATATAATGTATACATTAGTATTATATCTGAAATTATACAAATTATAGAATTACACAAAGTACAATATATATATGTATGTACAATAAATATACATGTATGTACAATAAATATATATGTATCTTCTGATGGAAAGATTTCTTAGAAAATCCTCAGAATTTTTTCAGAGTTTTTACATGAATTGGAACATCTCTCAACTCTGTTGTATAACACACGCGTTATATCAAACTTATAATGTTTAATCAGGAATTACAACAAACAGATATTTATTGATATTTATGAGTATTCTAGTTATATATATTATCTTATAACTACAATCCACAGATAACCAAACCTGCGCAGATTTTACGCAGAGTCTGTCAACAGTATCTTTAGACAGAATGGCAACAGATTGTACGCAGAATCTGTTCTGACGACAGATTGGTGACAGACTGCGCACAGAGCCTGTCGACAGACTCTGACGACAGACTAACGGCAGATTGCGCGCAGATTCTGTTTCCTAGATAGGCTATTTAATTCTATCAAGGGCTATATGTACGTTATTAAATGGGGCAGTTTCACATACACACCATGTAAAATTGCTGCAGAGGAGTAAGATAATTATATTGTGCAATAATTGTACACATATACAATAAAAAATAATGTTTACATTTTAAAATTGTATTACACATTTTTTATAAAAAAGCAACAATAATAGAGAAATAACGAGTACAAGTATAGAATAGTACAACGATTAAATGGTCATTTAAAGGCGTACATATGTCATCCCTGATAAAAATTGTTTTCATAATTTTTCATACAATTTCTCATTTTATTATTTTTTTTAAATGTTGTTATGTCATTAAATCTGCACGATTTAACCGTCATGCAATAAGTACTGAAGGCAGCAGCACCGAATAAAATATTAGTCTCGCTATGTAAATAACTTTTACAGAATTTTTTTTAATGGCTTATTTAAAAATATATCATGCTTCGATTTTGATAAAACTTAATACAATCTGAACGGGACGATCGACCAAATTAATTCGCACATCTAAAAGTACAGTATTTTATTAACATGATAGAAAAATGTCATTATCTGCTGTTTTATTGCAGTAATTTTCTATACATTTCTTGGTAGAAAATTAATTTCGAATTATCGTACCAGTCT